TTTAATTAAAATAAATTTAACCAGTAATCTTTTTTAAATCTTTTTTTAATTTAGAAAAATCACTGACAGAATATATTTTTATTTTCAATTATATATTTCATCAATATTTTTTTAATATAAGAATCTTTTGGTAAATGTAAGAATCTTTTTGGTATATATGTTTCATTTTATAGATGTAAGTACTTTTTTGGTTCAGAAAATGTTTAGAGACTTAATCGTTCAAAATATGAACGTCAATTGGATTTTTTTTCTTCACTTTTTTCATTATTTTATCACATTAACCAGTTTTATAGGTAATAAGGATGTAGCTAACAAATTTTAGAAATGGGTGAGGATATATACATCCCTCCCTATTGGTAAAGTGCATTCCCTACTATCCTTACATCAAAGTCAACTAATAAATTTTTTTCCATTAATTTTTTAAAAAAAATTATGTTTTATAACTTTTTCAACATTATTGCAACTCAATAAAGTGAAATAAATTCCGTAGTTGATTATCAGATAACAGTTGTTCGTACTTATTTATTCAAGTAATGTACGGAGTATCCCATGCGGTGGCGCAATCATATTTGAAATGAAGCCAATTTGACACGGTAGAAGGCATCGGATGCTCTTCTGCCAAAGATATTTTGACGTAATGATCATCGTTAACATACCCAATTTAAATGCAACATGTTCATACGACGACGGAGGACTAGATCGAAGTGGGAAGAATGTCAGACTACCTATAGTTGTTAAAGAGTGTAGTATTACATTGTATCTTGAAGCAATCAACAAGTGCCTTTTAAAAACATCCATCCAATGCTCATTTAGTGCACATGAGTTCAACTCAAAGAAGTTTAAGGAGTTATAAAGTCGATATCATAGTTCAATGTCATACACCTCGAGATATTATGTGTTGTACACGTTTAACTTCTCCATTAAATCATGCCAAATAAACAGCCATTCATCTTCGTGGCCATCAAGACAAACAGCTATCGCTTGAAATCCATAGTTTCCATCGTCTTTTACATCTTGTACCTGTGTGATGTATAGATGGAAATTATTTAAAAATTGATTAATTCATTGAGATAAAAAAAATTAACTTGCATGAATTATGTTACGTACCTGCACGATGTAAGGATGAAAAATACTTGGAAATTGATTAATGTATGAATGTGCATAATTTTTTTGGTCGAAGTATGAACTATCTCTAACTTGTTCATTGTTCGTCAAAACATCAAACTCCACACATGTTGACATGTTTGGACAACTATTTCTATGAGGTTTTTGAGTTGATGGGCTGACACGACTTTTTTTGACAACCTTACTCTTCCAACCACCTCTAAGCTTATATTTTCAAATTTTCTTTTATATATATTTTTTTATTATAACAATATTGTTTTTTATAAAAAAACATAATACAGTTTAAACTAATTTATATTTGAATTTTTAAATAAATAATGATGAGTTATTATCTGAATTTTCAGAAATTGTTGAAAACTGATGAAATTAATATTTGAATATTCAAAATCTTGAATAAGAATTGTTTAGTTACTTTTTAAGTTTTAAAATCGGAAAAAAAGTGATGGATTATTTTATGAATTTTAAAAGTTGCAGAAAAATTAATGATATATTCATTGAAAATATAGATAAAATGAAAATTAAGAATTTTCATATGAATTTTTAAAGTTTTTATTCAATTCTTATAAGAACAAACTATACGACTATAAACATAAGGTTAAAATTTGTAATATTATAAAATAAATGATATGTTATTTTAGGCTTATTGTCTTTCCCATTTATTGGTTTTAAATTTGATTAATATATAATACAAATAAAAGTTATAATTACTGTAAACTAATGATTATTATTATCTATTGATTAGAAAAACAAAAACAAAAAAGTAAGAGAGAAAGAGAGAGAAAGGATATAAGAAAAAGAAAAAGTTTTTCAAGCTTTTAGACCATTTAATGTTATTAATAATTTTTTATTTGATTTTTTTATTAGATGAGGGTGCAAATGATAATTTTTTTAGAAAGTTCAAGAAATTATTTAACAAATTTTATAATRTTCAAAGATTTATTTATTTTAAAAAATTGTATTTTTAGAGAATTTTGAAAAACGTTATCTTTTATTGTGAAATGGTTGGATTTGCTTTGAATGAAAAAAGGGTAGAAGATAAAAGTAGGACACGTGGTGAATTACAGGGCTAGGGGAATACTTGTCTCCCTAAAAGAGACCACGTTTACATGTGACATGTTTTCTTTTATTTTTTATTAAGATTTTAATTATTAATAAAAACTTTTTTTTAAAAAATTAAATGTATCATGTTACATACATAAAGTAGTTGGTCTTTTGCTCGGCTTGTTAGTCATTTTCTTGCCTAACAAGACAACATCCTCAACATAGAAATAATATATTTTACTATAATTAGAATATATTTGCAAAATATAATAAAATACATCTTGATTTTAATGTTTTATTTTATTTTATTTTTTGTTGATATTATAATATAATTTTATGTGATTTTGAGAAAAAACGATAATATTTTTATTTTGAATAAAATATAAATTTCTAGATATCATAAAATTTTGAAAAAGAAATATATTGATATTAATCTCAAATTAATTATTTAATTTTTTTTGTTTTGTTGTATAATTTATTTGATTCAATTTTTTTTGTTATAATTTAATTTATGTTTAATAATGAAGTAATTTATTTTTGATTTAATAATATAATTTTTATAAAAGATAATAATTAAGCATTCTGTTAGATTACAATGATTATTCTAATTATATTTTAGATTTTTTATATTTAAAATAAAATATTTATACGGTACTTGATTGTGTTTATCTGCAGTTAGTTACATGAATTCAAACATGAAACTTTAATAAGATAACATAAGCATTGTTTTCTCGTAATATTGAGTTTTAAATACTATACATTAATAAACAATATTTTATTTATAAAAAATCTAAGAGTTTTTTTTTCAAATACTTTATAATAAAATATAAATAAATAAATGGGAATTAATAAATCTTATTTACTTCATAGTTACTCAATATCCCCCAACAACTGTTTTAACTCTATATCATTTATATTTTTATTTATAATAATTATTGTATTAAAATTTATATAAATACATGAATATATGTTTTTTAAAAGAAAAACAATTTATTAAAAAACTCAAAACAAATAAAAAATTGTACAAGAAATAGAAGAAAAACATAAAAAACAAAAACAAACTCAAACAAAAGAGATAATTGGTTTGTTGAAGTTTTCTACTTTCGTCTTTATGATTTTCAAATTACAATTTTCATTCATATAGTTTATAATTTTTATTTTTTTGTCCTTATTATTTAAAATCTATTGTTTTTTTCGTCATTATAGTTACAATTTATTTATATTTTAGTCATTCATACTTAAAAGTAATGTTTTTGCCTCAAAAACGAAAATAGAAAATAATCGCAAGCCGTATGAACGAAAACCGGAATTTCAAAACCACAAGAACAAAATCCGAATTTTTTAACAAATCACAGGGACGAAAAACGTAATTTACTCCATTATTAAGAATTGTGTGATGATAATAAACAAACAAAAATAAAGAAATTTCAAAAATCTCTACTTTCTGTTATAATAAAGAACTAGGCCGGGTTTTTTATACTAGTTCCGGCTTTGTTGGCCRAGGGCAAGAGGGTCATTTACCAAAACACTTATCTGATAAGATTTTTGATCATCAAAATGGTATCATATGTAACAATCTTACCGACCTGTAAACGTTTGGTAAACAGCCACCACGTTTTACCCACCCCAACCAAAAATCTAAATCCCATAACCAGATAAATAATGAAATTTTTAGGTATAAAACCTTAAATGAGATCTTAATTAAATCCGACCTTCTCACAAAGTATAAACCCACTTTTTTCTCATATGTACCCCAAGAGGTCATGAATTTAATTAAAAACTCATTTGAGAAATAAGAGATTTTTAGGCATATAACCTTAAATCCATGACTTCGGGGCCATTTACTTAAATGCTTACCTAGTAAGCATTTAGCTTCAGGAGTCAACTGCAATTTATTTTACCAGGTAAAATTGTAATACATCAAAATGATATCGTATGCAACAATTTACCCAATAAACACTTACCCGGGTAAGAGTCGTCACCCTCACTTACCAAGTAAGACTCTCGATCTTTATCATTGCTCTTACCGAGTAATATTTTTGACCCTTCTCATGTTCATCCGGTAAAGAAAATTGCCCGATAAGCACTTACCAGGTAAGCGTCTAGTAAATGGCCCCTTCCTCACGAGTACATAGTCATATTTTCTTATATAGGCCAGGTCATGAATTTAGATTAAAAACTCATTTAACGTCATATCGAAATCATGATAAAACAGAATCAGATGTTAAAAGCTGTCTTAACATAATAAGCTACTTGCCAAACTGAAACCATGAATTCAAACTCCCAATTTCCATCTTTTTTATCCTTGTTTTTTTATATTTTTTTTGTTTCCCTTTTTTACTTTCGAGTCTAGTTTACAGAAATGTTGAATATGAACAACCCCAGAGGGGCAACACCATGTTCAAATTACAAAGAATATCTTCTGTACAACAAAGAATTTTACAAGAGTTAATTAATTTACCTCTGAATTTCATTTCATGCTGGAGAATGCTGATAACCGACACCTTTGAGGAGCGCGATTCGTTGTGATCTCGAATGGCTCTGTCTGTTGTTAAGTAGATCAATATATGTTCTAAGCCTATAACGATCTGAGTTTGTGATCGAGAATGGAGGATTAAGAATCAGCGAAGGTGCTTCCACCAGAAGAAAACTTAATAAACGCACTGCTTTTGAATAGAACCCTGCTGCATTTTCAACGAAACCCATGTACTCATCCACCTGCCGAAAACACTTTCTTATTCATTTCATACGCAGATCAAACTTAATAATTCTCAACAAATAAACAGAAAAAGACTTACAGCCCCGTGTTTGCCGAAATTAAGGGCAGCCTGAAATATTATTTCCATTGCATCCGGCATCCCATCATTTCCTAAAGAAGACAGAAAACGAAGAAATATAATGGAAGATATGTTCACATCTAATATCAACTTATCATTGTGTAAAGCATTAACTTATATATCTCCTTTTGTTTATTCTTTGTTTTTGTTTTTACACCTAGTATTCTTTGTGTTTTGTTTAAATATTATTTGAGGCACACTTGCATATAATACAATTATTTTTAGGGAATATGTAATAGAAAAGATATGTTCATCTGTTTAATATACTTCTTTTCGTCTTTATAATGTATTTTGTCATAGCCACATGACTTAGGGTCTGTTTGTTAGCAGTTTAATGAGCTTAATGGGACTTCGTTCAGCTATACATGACTGTTTGGTAGTGGCTTCATGATATATTCTAGGGGAGAGCTTTATGCAGAAACCCAAGTTTTTTACAAACATGCCCCTCCCAATTAAAAACACGCTTCTTCCGTCTATACAGATAGTTTTATCCATACACAACTTAATAGAAAACCATCCAAACAGCCCCTTACTCAATTCAAAGGAACAAACCAGGTGAACCTGACAAACCAAAAGATCAAGTACCGAAGACAAAAAGGTTAGTTTAATTGTATTTATTAACAGATTGCTGGATGGAACTGGACAGGCAAGGGTGAAGTATGATGGTGAAAGAATTAGGGAAGGCTTTAGGGTTTTAATTTGACATGGTTAGTTTAGAAATTTCCCAATCTTGTCCTCATCTTTCTAATTTTTGTTCCACCTATTTTGGTGGGACAGTAAATTTTTTGTCCTGTCCTGTCCAGTACAATGTCGTGCAAATGTGGGACAAGTTCTTGTACTCTACTGTCTATGTCCCATCCTATCCTGGGTACCATGTACAAAATGCACACCACACTGTAAACAACAATAGGCATTCCAGCATAGCTTGGTAAACAAAGATGTCAAAGACTTACCAGGCTCTATAACTTTGGCAAGTTCCTCGGCATTTTCAACTTCACCAAGAAATATTCTCTCAATATGACTGCAAACATCTTGTGGAGACTTGGCAGTTTCCAGACATTCTTGGATATCAGGACCATCACGTTCCCTGTTGCTGGTCATGTTAAAAGTTGTAGTTTCTTGACATGGACTTCCTTTAATAGCTGAAGCAGCCTGTGTGTGACAGATATCCAGTGCTTGCTTCCATATTGCAAGGATCACAAGCTGAATAGAGAATGCTTCTAGCCTCCGCCCCGCCTCAATCTTTTTTAAGATAGAAATGAAGGCGATTAGTAATTAGAAGCAGCTCGAATATAGTCTGCAGATTTGACTAAAGAACCATTTAAACAAAATTCTTCCAACATCGGATCTCATTCTTACAAAATTGAGCATTTTGTAACATACCTTGTCATTCACCAACTCGGAGATGGCAGAGGCACAATCATGCAATGACTTGATTCTTGCCATGCAGTCAGTTGGTGGCTGTTCTGAAACATCAATTATATCAACTGATCCATGGGACGTCCCAGAGGGTGCGGAGCATTGACTTTCAAAGCTCCCCGTGCAGCGCATTTTACTGGCGGCTCCACCAATGATGGGTAACGGTGCACTGGATGTTGAATGAATATCCCTCAAAGGTAGAGGAGGGCTCCCTGTTTTGGACGCTGATTGGATCACCTTAGAAACACTTGCCAACGAAGATGCATCCCCAAGGGGACCAGATACTATAACATAATCCTGATCAATCAACTCCAGCGCGTCCACTGATATACAAATTAAATATATTAATTAATCAACAGTTGAAGAACAATAACATAATCAATTGTAGTTGGACGTCCATTGTTTGGAGAAAACAGAAAACATACCTTTGGAATGCATATTTACTGGTCTGTGTTCAATTGATCTCAGAGATTCTTTTAGATTCCCTTCTGACGGTCTACGATTTCCTGGCACAAAACCATTATTATCTGGTTTCTGTCTGATACTGCTATACCTGGAAGAAATTTCCATGTCCTTTGACAAGTCTCTTCTATCAACTTCAGTATCCAGGGAAAACCCATACGTAGATCTCAACGGTGACCTCCTAACATAAGACGGACTGCCATCAGGATCATTAGAATCATCATCTAGACTAAATGGTAAATTATCTTCTTGGCAATTTTCTTGTTTGTTCCTAAAAGCTGGGATTTTAGGATAAGAAAACCCATCCATTGTTCTCCGTGGCCTCCTATCTCTGCTGCATATACCATAACAATACTTATTAATTATTATGCAGAAGTTATGCAACAAAATGTCTTGATAACTGAAAGAACCACTTCAGCCTAGATTACCTTGACAATTCATCAGGTTGTGTTTGAGTCAAGTATGGGTGTGTAAAGAACTCCTCAAATGTCAACCTTTCCACTGAGCATCAAAATAATCAAAATCAGAATTAATAGGGCGTCCGAATAGTTAAGCAATTGAGTATCAGCCATGACCTAGATGACTATCTTCTGTTGCCTTTAATAATTATATTATTATAAAGGGTAGACTTGTCTGATCCTATGATCTTTACCAAACATAAAGTTGACATAGCATGAAGCCCAAGATCATCTACTTAATCACATTGAAACCGGGAGCTACTTCCTCAATATCAAATAACACAAACCATCTAAGAGCGGATGAAGGATGAATTTCAATAAATATATATCCCCAACAAAGTTAGGGAAATAGTATCAAGTTATGACATGCTCTAGAAGCTTTAAAGCCTCTTAGTTAATAGCCTAGTATCAACTGCCAATATATCCCAGTTGTTCTTATATTAGTGAAGTACATTAAGAAAATAACATATTGGAAGAAAAGGGAAACCTTCTCAAGATGACACCAACGCATGAAAGTCACTTTGTTACTTAGCAAGAAGAGTTAGAACCAACATAAACTATCCCAGTTTCACTGTGACAGTGCATATTGGATTCAACACGCACCCGATTCTAATCCAAGCCGACTATTATTAATTTATTTTATAACTTTTTACATGATAAACTCAATAGAATCCGTATTTTTACTAAATCTTGATGAGGGCAATCATGATATTGATGAATTCATTTTGACTTTATCATGATGATGACGAGCTTTTCATTATACCCATGCTCAATTTCTTTTAGATAATGAWTATGATTTCTTGCCCTTTTATGTCTTTTGTTTCTTTTTTTATATTGTTGCACCATAATTATTTGATGAATAACTGGTATGAGTTTATACCTCTGTTTTTCCTCCGCCAATTTATCTTTTATTTTATTTAACATATAATATGTTTTAAATTATATATAACATGTATAATATGCAGCAAATACATTGTGGCATTTCTAAAATCCTGCACCCAAGCAACCGTTATCAATCGCCTCTGACACACACCAGTTCCTTGCTTCTAAGATTTCTGTTATGACGTGTCTAAATTGCAAATACCTGGATTTTGTCGCAGTAATTTCCGGCATAGATCTATGCACTCATAACTTAAGTCCTTTACGTCTGGAGGAAACTGCAGTTCAGTTGATTTCATGATATTTTGAAGCAACTGCATGAAGGGTGAAATAAGAACAAGGCATAAATAATATTAGGTCAGATAGTTAACTTAATTCATTATAGGAAAAATCTAGTCCTTGAAACCAAACACCTGATAATGATACAAGATGCATAAACCTGAATTTGATTGTTTCCTGTGAATGGTGTTCTCCCTGTTACAAGTTGAAATAGAATGGCACCAACACTCCATAGATCTGCCTGTGTTTCAATTTCTACGTTAATATTGCAGATAGGTCATAAGAGAACTAAACTAAAGCAACCTCTGCATTGTTACAGCAAATAGCACCTTGGCATCATACTTATGGAGCTGCATTATTTCTGGTGCCATATAAAGCGGCGAACCACATAAGGTTTCTGCAAGGCCTCTAGGTTGCAAGGATCTGCAAATATAATTAGATGTTATTTTCATCTAAGAGCTATTACGCATGGTGCATGGTCATATTTAATGCTGGAATTATTTTACCTTGCAAAGCCAAAATCTGCGATCTTCAATGTTGAATTGTCATCATTTGTAGAGAGTAGAAGATTCTGCTCAACAGATAAGACACATAAGATATACACATAAACACTAAAGTTGAGATAGGTGTGTGAACCAGTCAAGATCATAATACTTGACCAGGGGTCACTGTAATTCCAAATACCAAATAAAACGTATTGTATCCACTAACAAGGTTATCCAGACAAATAACTACTTCCGTACAAAATTCGGGATGTAAAAGTGAATATAAATTTTAGGATCAGAGGTTCAGAATTGAAAAGGGAATTTAAGTTCTTATGCTTAATGTATCCTCATATATCAAAAAGAAGCTCCAATGTTCAACTAATGGAAAGATATCTTTACCTTTAACTCTCAATATCTTTCCAAAATACCCCTCCCTCCTTTTCAGCCTACTCTCTCTCTCTCCCTCTCTCTGTGTGTTTCCACGTTCTCTCCTCTCTATATCCTTGTTCATTCAAAATCGAAACTGACAAGACTAAATCAGTAATCAAAACCACCAACCCCGACTAAGCACGGGAGTCCAGCTTACTATGTTATTTCGAGTAGATCTGTGGATATCTTTATGTGCTTTCTTGGGGGTTTTTTCTTGGTCCTGCGTTTTTCTGCGTATTTATGAGATATGTTATGCTTGATAAGGGCCCGATAGGAGCTCAATGTATGTAGAAAACTTAGATTGAAGACGACTCTCGATAGAAGCTCAATGGTGCTCAATGGTGATGGATGGCCGGCGATGGTATACTTCAAACTTGTTATCGTCTTGGGGAGTGAAAAGTTGTAGGCTTCATATTTTTTCCATAAGAAAAACTACAAATAAAATGGTTTCATTTTTATTCATCGCACTTGTATTAGCCTTTGCTTTCATGGGCATTTATTTATCTAAACAGTTGAAAAGTCAAAGCACATAGGCCAATTATGTACATGTTTCAAACTAAAAGGCTCCAACAAGCTTTCTTGCATGAGAGATGGCAGTAAATTACCTCATATTTGCGGAAAGAAAATCTAAACTATATATTTATATAGGACAAAACTCTCACACAAACTCCTCATCTTTTGTGAGGCTTGAACCCTTGACCTCAAAGGAGGTTAGAATCTACAGGTAAAGCGAGTCAAATTTGCAAATTCATATAGAAAGTGAGACTAAATTCACAAACAAAAGCAAGTTTCAATATATTCCTGCAGATTATTGGTTGTATACTAGAAAAATTCAAACACCATTATTGTTCTAAGAATTACAAATCTATATCAAAATATAGAAGTAGTGTGTCACACTCGTGCTTCTTTATGAACCTCACTGGAAAAAAAACACCCAAAAGCTAATGGTCAAGCAACATCGAGCACAATCAAGCTCCTATTGAGCAACCATCAAGCTCCATCTCTTTCAAATAATTTGGAGAATAAAGAAAGAGAAAGAATGGAGCAATCTTTGAGCTTGAGAAATACTCCAAAGCCATTTTCGTTGTTGGATCATCATAACAGATACCACAAGCAAAACATGAGCGATTTTGGTTTTGGTATTGTCTTCAAGATCCTATCTTACTTTTGTTTTTCGTCATTTTGGTTTCAGTTTTGTCTTCAATTATCCCATCAACTGTTTTCACATCGGATTGCATAAGGGTTTTTTTTCTGGTTGCCATAGGTTTGGGATAGAGAAAGATAGGAGAAAAGATGGAAACAAAAAGGGAGGGTGAGGGAAATACTAAAAGGAACATATTTATGGGAGGGGTATTTTTGTAGAAAAACATATTTTTCCACTAGTTGAACACTGGAGCAGATTTCTTATATATAGGGGGTACATTAATCATAGAAGCTCTAGGTTCCCATTGAAAGTGGTAAAGTTCACCAGAACTATTTTTATTAAACAAACCATAAGCAAAATCTAATGTTTTATTGCATTTGCCTCCTTTCCTCTAAAAGTGGACACCATGCCTTAGGTTATTCAAATATCCTATAACATTCTTGACTCGGAAGATACCCATTTTGACTATTGGAACCAAGGACATACAAAACAAGCGTACAAAATCTACTTTCTAGTATTAACCGCATAGTTGAGATGATTAAATCCAACCATAATCAATGACTCCATGCAAGCTAAGGGCATTTAAAATTAATGAACATCAGAAAATAAAATTCATTGTAAGCCTAGCATAGGGAACCTTGTTTGGACATAGGGAACCTTTTGTATTTTAGAGAGCATCTAAAAATAGTAAAGAAAAGGTAGTATTCCAGAAAGCATTAGGTGGAACGAGTCCATCTCTTAATTGCCTACACATGGGTAAGTTGATACTTAAGTAGATGCAAATGCGCTTGTGTTGCATTGAAATACGTAAAATGCAAATATTTTTTTAATCATGTAAAGCTATAATAATTAAAATTTTGATACCATACTATTTTGATACAATTACTTTTCTAAATAACTAGTTTCATTGTTACATCAAGACAATTGACCTGAAAGGATTGAAAATATTATCTCCATGTTGAGAAAATTCAATTAATAGATGCTTAACTTTTCAAAACTCTTAATCTACTGATTATTTGCTAATTGAAGGAGGTGGAAAATAATTACTTCTATAAACAATTAGCACGTGTAAATGTTGGTTCTACATGAAATACAATGAAAACATTTACACCTCCAACCTTATTGAAGGTTATAAAGTGTTCTTTCATCAGTCAGCTACACAATCACACATACATAGCCTCTCTGTTTCAAGTCTCTTCATCAGTGCAAGAATGTGAACCAACAAATATAACCATGCCTTGTGCAAAAGAGTATATATCCTCATTTCATACACATAGAAATATCACAGTTGATAAAAATTGGCCCAGAGGTACATGGGTTACCGGTAGATCCCAACCTTCCTGCGGTCAAGGGGTCAAATCTCACCAAAGACGAGTGTGGGAGTTTTGCCTTACATAAATATTATATACTTCAAAAAGAAGTTGATCTGACTTGTAGGATGATGAGAATCGAAATCTTTAGAACAGCTATCGGAGGAAATAAGAACACATTGAGAGGAAGGAATTGATTTAATTGAAATCAGAAATCGAAGAATACAATCGTAACTCCAGGGATGATCCCTCTCTCACAATCTCCTGGATTGGAGCCCAAGACAATGGAAGCAGAAAAATAACAGAATGCGTAAAAAAGAAAACCTCCTTCCTCTTTTATTCTCTTTCTTCTAACAACCTTCAGCCACTTTTGTCATTTACCTTTTTTGCCCCTTCTAGAATATACTTGTAATATCCTAGGTTTGTTGACCTCATCTTTAAATAATTTCAATTCCGTATCATTACTCCCCCCTTCCAACAAAGTCTTGTCCTCAAGACTTACATCAGGAAATTGACTCTTGATGGTTAACGCATCTTCCCATGTTGCCTCTTCCACCGAACTCCCCTTCCAATGAACCAGCCATTGCTCCTTGTCCGCATTGAGTTCCTTGMTTGTGCGAGTAGCTAAGACAGCCACTGGAGTAATCAACTCAGTAGCGTTTAAATCTAATTCTGGAGGTAAATTGGTGTCCACAATTCCTTGAACWGCTTTCTTTAACAAGGACACGTGGAAAACCGGGTGTATCTTGGACATGGGAGGCAATTCGAGTTTATATGCCACTGGTCCTATCTTCGCTGTGATCTGGAATGGTCCAAAAAAACGAGCTGCCAATTTCTGATGAATCCGACTGACCACTGAAAGTTGTCGGTAAGGTTTCAATTTCACATAAACCCATTCCCCAATAGAAAAATGAACCTCCCTTCTTTTCTTATCTGCATTTCTTTTCATGACATCTTGAGCATGTAACAGCTGAACACGAAGTTGTTTCAAGGCTTCATCCCTGTCTTGTAATTCTATCAACACCTGTTGAACTCGTACTTCACCCGGTATGTACTGCGTAACTGCTGGTGGCTTTCGACCATAAACCACCTCGAAGGGAGACTTACCAGTCGAYGCATGGAAGGTGGAGTTGTACCAAAATTCAGCMCAAGGAATCCACAATGACCAGGTACGAGGTTGATCAACAGCGAAACATCGAAGGTACGTTTCCAAACATCGGTTTATTACTTCCGTCTRACCATCAGATTCKGGGTGATAAGCTGAACTCAKATGAAGTTCAGTRCCCTGCGATCRAAATATCTCCTGCCAAAATCGACTMAAAAACAAAGGGYCGCGATCKCTAACGATRGATTTGGGAATTCCATGATGAYGAACCACYTCCTTTACAAAGATATCAGCTACTGTCTTGGCKGTGTAGGGATGTTTGAGCAAAATAAAATGACTGTACTTGGACAGCCTGTCAACCACCACGACAATGGCATCAAACCCCCTCGACTTGGGCAACCCGAGGATAAAATCCATCGATAAATGTTCCCAAATAGCGTCTGGTATTTCTAAGGGCTGTAACAGTCCTCCGGGAGCAACCGAGCTGGCCTTACATCGTTGACAAACATCGCAAGCACGCACAAATTGCTTAACGCAATCAATCATCCCAGGCCAATATAAGTTACCCGCTAGACGCCTATAAGTGCGATAATACCCGRAGTGACCACCAGATGCAGATTGATGAAATTCTTTCAATAAAGAAGGAATGAACTTAGAATTTTTCGGGATAACCAATCGATCCTTATAATAAAGAATTCCATTACGAACAGAATACCCCGGTTGAGCATCCGACCGAGATAAACATTTTTGCATCAGGTTTTGTATCTCCAAATCAGCCTTATGCTCTTCAAGTAAGGCAGCTCCTTGTAACCACAAAGGTGACGAAAGAATCATTCCGAAATCACCATCTTCAGCCCTACGAGACAGAGCGTCCGCTGCCCGGTTTTCTCTCCCCGGTTTATAACAAATTTCGAAGTTGTAACCCAACAGTTTTGCCACCCAATTCTGCTGATCAGGGCTAGTAACCCGTTGTTGTAGTAAAAACTTCAAACTTTTTTGATCTGTATAAACCACAAAGGTGGTYCCCAATAAGTAAGAGCGCCAGTGTTGGACTGCTAGAACCAGTGCCATGATCTCCCTTTCATACGCTGATTTGACCAAGTTCCGGTCACTTAATGCCTTGCTGAAATAAGCAATTGGTTTTTGTTGTTGCATTAAAACTGCTCCAATACCCCTACCTGATGCATCACACTCTACCACAAAAGGAAGAGTAAAATCTGGAAGAGCCAATAAAGGGGCAGTGACCATAGCCATTTTTAACTTATCAAAAGCTTCTTGTGCTTCTTCATGCCATGTGAAAGCATCTTTTTTTGTCAAATCAGTGAGTGGTTTCGCAATACTTCCATAGTGTCGAATGAACTTCCGGTARTAACCCGTAAGACCCAAAAATCCACGTAAGCCTTTAATTTGTTTAGGAACTGGCCAAGCTAACACTGCCTCAATTTTCTTTGGATCCATGGCAACCCCCGCACCGTTGATAATATGGCCCAAATATTCTACCGATTGTTGACCAAAAAAACATTTCTTACTATTAACCACGAAATGATTTTGTTCCAAAACTCGTAAGGCCACTTCCAAATCGTTTAAATGTTTTTCCCAAGTAGAGCTATAAATTAGAATGTCATCGAAAAAAAACTACCACCATTTTCCTTAACCAAGGACGAAAAATGTCGTTCATAACGGCTTGAAACGTGGCGGGGGCATTCGTGAGGCCAAAAGGCATCACAAGATACTCATAATGTCCGTCATGAGTGCGAAACGCCGTCATTTCAATGMTGTTTGGATGCATGCGTATCTGATTGTAACCGGCTTTCAAATCGAGTTTAGAAAAGAATTRGGCTCCATGCAATTCATCAATGAGCTCTTCCACCATGGGAATTGGAAACTTATCTGCCACCGTAGCCTTATTAAGGGCTCTATAATCAACACACATTCGCCACGTTTGATCTTTTTTTTTAACCAATATCACCGGACTTGAGAAAGCGCTCTTACTTGGACGAATCATTCCCAAAGAAAGCAGTTCTTGSACCTGTTTTTCAATCTCCGTTTTCTGCACATGTGGGTATCGATACGGCCRCACACAAACAGGGTCATGGGAATTGTTGAGGGTAATAACGTGATCATGAACCCTTGCTGGAGGGAGACCCGAAGGGGTCTGAAAAACGGCTACAAATTGTTTGAACAATAATTGTAGCGCCTGCTCTTGAGTAGTGGTTAAACTATCTCCAAACCGAGTATCCATCGAGGGCAAAKAAAGGGTGGTAGTATCCATACCTTCCGAGCTAAACAGCCACTGTTGTAATGAATCAAGGGACCCTTGAGATGCTGTCTTTCCTTGCAACGAAACTGAAACCCCATGAAAATTAAATTTCATCCAAGATTTCTCCCAATTATGAACYACTTCTCCCAACGTTTGAAGCCAAGCCATTCCCAACACCACATCCAGTTTCCCAGCATCAAAAACTAAAGCATTCACCATAAACTCATATTGCCCCACCATTAATTGAAGGTTAAGACATTGTTGATCAACAACAACAGTATGACCATCACCCAAACGAATATTAATTCCTGAACAATTATTAAATGGCAAAGCTAAGGATGTTACCAGTTGACGAGAGATGAAGTTATGAGTCGCTCCACTATCCACCAAGATGGAGACGGGAATGTCTCTAATCGTGCCATCTAATTTCATCATCTTGCCGCCTGGTGTAGTCGCTGCAGAAACACCGAAAAATTCCAAAGCCGCACACATGCCGGTAGGAATTTGCTCCTCATTTGGAAGAATATGTTCATTTTGAGACTCCATAAAACGAACATCACCCACATCTAATCCATCCTCGTCTTCCCCCAACAATAACACCCGGAGTTTCCCTTCTGGGCATTTGTGAGTCGGGCCATACTGCTGCCCACAGCGGAAACATAAACCTTTCTTGCGTCGCTCCTCCCATTCTGTTCGCGTAAGGGAACGAAATCCTCGATCCCGCTGAATATCGTTTGAGCCTTGGGAAGTCGGAGAAACGGAAGAACGGGAACCTGGGTACGATTTAGAAGAATGGAAACGATCCMTACTCTTGGGTAATGGGCTTTTAGCCTCCGTACGGCCCATTGGCAAGGATCGTGGCTCACTTGGGTTGAAACCGGAGCCCAATTGGTATCGGAAACGAGAGTGAGATAAAGTACCTGATGACGGACGCAACATCTCTTCCACATCCTTCGCCAAGTACATAGCATCCAGACGCGATTGAGGGCGGTGCAATCGAACCCACCGTTTGACCTCATCTCGCAATCCCGCTACAAAATACCCCAAGGATTGCGATTCTGGTAATTTGGGAACCAAGGAGAGTAAGTATTCGAAATCATCTATATAATCATGAATGGAATCAGATTGTTTGATGGTGGCGAGYTGCTCATAGGGATTTTGGATTTCTAWTCCACTGAATCGTTGAAGTAATTCTACCTGAAACTGATCCCAAGTGATACCCTCGTGAACTTGYTTAACGATGGTGAACCARTGTTGGGCGACKCSKGTCATACTCAGTTGAGCCAGACGGAGACGAAGATGGACAGGAGTAGCATTGATGTCAAAAAACAAATTAGCCTTTTGAATCCACCCCTGAGGATCAAACCCAAAGAATTCCGGTAACTTAACCTTCTTCACAGCCCAAGGTACCCCACTGGATTCATTGAGAGGAGGAACAGCTCCCCCACCAGCTCCGTTACCACTGCCGCCAGACTCGAAGAACAGACCTGAATGAGAGCTGCGAGAACCCATGCCACCACCAGCCTCGTGTTGATTGCTCTGCTGTTTCATCCACCCCAGCACCACTTGACGGAACTCAGCAGACTCCGCCCTATCCGCCTCCAATGATTGCAGAACCAGTTTAATKTCCGTAACCTCAGACTGAAGTCGCTGGAGCTGCTCATCATGTTGCTCCAATCGAGATTGTATAGAACGGGTTTCCATTAACAAAGAAGSAAAGGAAACGGCAGGTCAAAGGCAGGTCGGACCAGTGATGAGAATCGAAATCTTTAGAACAGCTATCGGAGGAAATAAGAACACATTGAGAGGAAGGAATTGATTTAATTGAAATCAGAAATCGAAGAATACAATCGTAACTCCAGGGATGATCCCTCTCTCACAATCTCCTGGATTGGAGCCCAAGACAATGGAAGCAGAAAAATAACAGAATGCGTAAAAAAGAAAACCTCCTTCCTCTTTTATTCTCTTTCTTCTAACAACCTTCAGCCACTTTTGTCATTTACCTTTTTTGCCCCTTCTAGAATATACTTGTAATATCCTAGGTTTGTTGACCTCATCTTTAAATAATTTCAATTCCGTATCATAGGACCTTTTCACACATGATTTAGGGGTTGTTTGGCAATTGCTGAAGGGTTTGGTGCAGAATGATTAAGTGGTCAGAATGATTAAGAGGCTCTCATGATATAGTGCAAAATGAAATATAAGTGTTTGATAATTGTGTACAATGAAATTAGGGCTCTTAATGGTTAAAGGGAGATCTAGGATACAAAATCGTTCAGAGGGTTTTAGAACCATTAAGAGAAAGACTTTTTTTTTTGCCAAACAAGATTCACCTCTTAACGATTCAGAGGTTGCCTTTTAATGGAACTATTAAGAGCTAAACAAACAACCCCTTACTCTCATAGAAGGATGAACAAAGAAATAAGCAATAATCCTCATAGTGTTATGGCTTATTAAAACTTTAGCTTATAGTAATTATTCAGTGACTATGTTTCAACAGTCAATTAGATTTTAACATATAGAATTAAACTATATGTGAGCATGTATTGGAAGATGGCTTATAACATAAACAGGAAGCAAATTGAAAAACTAATACGAACCTGTGGCTTTAGATCCCTATGGATGATTTGATTCTCACGAAGGACTTTCAGACCAGCGGCTGTAAAAGAGACAATCTTAATAAATTCAATCACTCACCAATACCAGTAATTTAAAAACGAAAAGAACAAGTTCTGAAATACCTAATTGCTGCATAAAGTGAACTGCTGTTGATTTGGGAATTCTACCTTGACGTCTTTGAATAAACATAGATAGATCACCTCCTTTGCAGTACTCCAGGACAAGATGTATCTTTCCAGGTTCCTAATTCCACACATGTGAGATTCAACAACAATTTCAAACCAGTTTTAAGAAACAGAAAGGTTACAATATTTAGTCCACTTCATTTCTTTTTTCAGATTGGTTTTGGCAGGTCTCCTTTCCTTGATTTGCGGATAGATGGAGACAGGACCAACAAAACAAAGATGAAAAAAAAAGAAGCAAACTGGAGTAAAAATAATAACCTAAGTTTCTTGAGGATCAACAGAAGTTACCAAACCAAAACAGACAACCAAGTCCAACCGGGACCAAGTATAAGTAGCAATATGAATCCAGGATACTGTGAACACTTATCCCAATACAACTCAGCCCAAATAAGACCTTATCCGTAACAAATTCAGGTAAGCTAAGGTGAAATAATTAGAAAAGGAAAATCATTATTAGGAGGAGCAAAGCCAAATCAAGTACTAAAGAAGCCAACAGAGATGACAGAATAAAAAGTAGAATGATTATTCAAGAGATAAAAAAAATAACCATCAGTCCAATAAAAGAACTTTAATGCAGATCAAAATGGGTAACCCCACCTGGACCACCCGTATAATCTAAGCTAAATGGGCCGTTTCCCTCCTTCAGCAAGTGCAGGCAAAAAAAGAGCATGAAGCTGAGAGAACTGAAATATAGAGAGAAAACAAAACAAAAGGGGAATGAACAAACAAGAAAGTAGAAGATCAGGAAAAGAATAAGTCACGAGGATCAGAGAATAGAGGGAGGAATAAGTAATGCCTGAAGGATGGAAAAAAGAAGGGATTCAACCCAAAAGGAATACCAGGATGGAAAGAATGCCAGGTTCAGACAGCTTTGATCTAATAAACCAAGATACATCTTTTTTTGTTACCTCACCTTGTATCCATACAAAGTTACAACATCATGTCTCAAGTTACATTGCTGAAGCACCACTCGATAAACTATGCACTGTCGCTAGCTGGCTTAACCCCTCAAGTTTTCAAGACAATTCTATGTAAATATTAATACATTAATTCATCTCACACATGCAAAATGATTTGTTATTTGGGAGTACATGGCATCACTTGTTTTCACTCATGCCCTTTTCATAAGCCACATCATTCACAAAGGTAAAACTAATCATATTGCATTCTCCTTTTCAAGCATTTAGTACCTTAAAGAGATATGTTATATTTCTTTGTAGCTCCATCTATCACCAACAGGAGAAATTTCCATCAGGACTGGATTATCAAGCATGAACCTTGATAAAAGTTTCTGTGTCCGCTTCTATTCATAATCCATTCTAAAGTGCTCACTCAAGAGCTTCATTCTATAATCCATAAGCTAAACACAACTCTATATACATCAAATATACATACGAAGTAGACTAATGTACTCTGCTGATCAGGTATTTTGTTAACCGTTCAAAGATGCTTACATCACCTGAAGATTTGTAAACTTCTGTAAGGATTTTGCCACCAAGGCTCAGGGTTGGGTTTCAGTGAGAAGGAGAGTTAAGGTGAGAAGAATAAGAAGGGATATCCACCCTTTGATGCACATTAGGATGAGATGCGCCAAGATGAGATGCACCGGATCAATCCCCGTATCAAGCATGATTCACGGGTGGGTTTGAGATTAAAGTTGATCAAGGTCCAGATCCCTTCTTACGCTTCTCACCTTAACTCTCGTTCTCACATGATCCTTCGGCCCAAGGCTCATAACTATACCCTCATGTCCTGTGTAAATTATTATATATTTTGAATGGCATGTAACATTTGAACCAAAAATCCCAATTCCAGGCCGTAGTACACAGCACTATATAACTATATCAATTAACGTCATTGTTTAAAAGCAAGCAGTGTTACTTCCAAGCCACACCAAACACCAGATCAACCTCGGAACAAATACCAAACTAATTCAGAAAGGCTGACTAACTTCGGGTAATCATATTCTAGCCAATAGATCATCCATTTCTTATGCACGCAACCATATTGAATCTACATATATACTCCATCAAAGCCAATAAAACAAGATACAGAGTGATTGATCAAGTAAACTTTAAAATTTAAAATTTGGTAACAACATTAACACAGGGATGTTCCGATTATCCAGCAGTGAATATAATCATGTTAAATGTACATATCGAAATATTCCTAAAAAAATAAAGGACGCCTCCATAGACTGACAAAAATCAGTCTATTATACCTCGAAATCCAAAAACTTTCCACAGTGGCAACCAATCAAAAACATACAAAATACTTCAATTTCATCAGAAAAGAAGTCACCAAAAAAGAACAAATCGAGCACCTTGATCATTTCATGGAGCCGAATGATGTTAGGATGGTTAACGTTTCTCAAGATATCAATCTCAGACATGAGACTCTCTTCCAACTTTTTATTGAGTTTCCCGGTGAGAATCTCCTTGATAGCAACTTCGGTGCCATGGATCTTATGCCTGGCGTGCCAGACCACAGAAAACGAACCCGACCCGAGCTGTTTCCCAACAACATAATCCCCAACCGATCGAACTCTGTACGAAGATTGAGCCATCATCCACCAAATTTATAAAAAAAAAACCCTAATCTTAAAGCATGGAGATGAACTGAACAAGATCAGCTACTGGCTGTGTGGAGAATCTAGATTGAGGGAAGAACAGATTGATTGAATGAATGATTTTGATATTGATATTGATATTGATGATGCAATTTTGGAAGTATTTTGTCTCATACGATTAATGTTGGCATGAGTTTGAGCTTCGATGATTAGATGGAGTAATCGATCAGGTCAAAAAGGGGTTTATTATATGTTCATTGGAAGGTTTTCACGCTTCCGTGGCTATTGTGTGCCGCGTGCGCTGTGCGCACCCTCCGATTCAAATCAAATAACTTCCCCTTTTAAATCTTATACGATATGTATAACTTTTCAAAAGCTGCTATCAATATCCAATAGCATCTTGTAGATAAATTTCTTAATCACTTTTAACATAATTTATTAAATATTAAATATAAAAATACTAGAATTATGGTCTGCTAATAATTTGCATTTCCTATAAATTAATCAACTAAATATAAAGTATGCTTTATATAATTTTATTAGAATGGTGCTTGTGCAATCCARCGAGATACATCTTGATTTTAATGTTTCGTTTTATATTTTGGGTCTATCAATATATGATGTTATGTGGTTTTGAGAAAAATAAAATGTTTTTATTTTTAAATTAAATATAAATTTGAATATATCATAAAATTTTGAAAAAAATAAGTGATATTAGTATTAAATTAACTATTTAAAAGTTCTCGTTTTTTTATGTAATTTATTTGATTCAAAATTTTATTATAGTTTAATTGAATTTTAAAAACTAATTAATTTATATTTGGTTTAATAATATATTTTTTATAAAGATAATAATTAGTTATTTTGTTAGAACTCAATAATTATCCTAATTATATTTTGGATTTTTTATATTTTAAAATGAGATGTTTATCCTCTATTTGAAATTTGATATTTATTCGCAGTTAGTTACACGAATTCAAACATGAAGCTTTAATAAGTTGTACTTACGCACAATTTACTTGTAATTTTGAATTTTAAGTAATATATATATCAATAAACAGTATTTCATGCATAAAAAAACGGTTTTTGAGAGTTTTCGTCAAATGTTTTATAATATAGTATATATATATATATATATATATATATATATATACACTATATTTATAAAGCATTTGACAAAAAAAACCATTTTTATGCATGAAGTACTGTTTATTTATGCATGTTACTTAAAACTTAAAATTACAAGTAAATTATATGTAAGTACAAGTTATTAAAGTTCTATATTTGAATTCGTGTAACTAACTGCAGATAAACATAATCAAATATAGGATAAATATCTCATTTTAAATATATTATGTTTAAAATATAATTAGAATAATCATTGTGTTCTAACAAAACATTTAATTATTATCTTTATAAAAAATATTTTTAAATCAAAAATAAATTACTTCGTTGTTAAACCTAAATTAAATTATAATAAAAAATTTGAATTAAAGAAATTACACAACAAAACAATAACTTAAAAATGGTTAATCTATACTATCTTATAAAACATTTGGCTAAAATTCTTAAAACTATTAAACTCGTTCATCCCTAAACGATTTCATCCCTATCCGATTTCATCACATACCTGAATTCGTGTAATTAACTGCAGATAAACACAATCAAATACAGGATAAACATCTCATTTTAAATAAAAAAAATCTAAAATATAATTAGTATAATCATTAAATTCTAACAGAATACTTAATTATTATCTTTATAAAATTTATAATATTAAACTAAAAATAAATTGTTTTATTATTAAACATAAATTAAATTATATATAAAA